TACCATCAAACATAAATAATTACATTTCCTGTTATCCTGTTACAAGAATAAAACTGAAATCTATATAGAAAATATATCTCAATAAAATTATACTTGGTCATTCCATAATGTACACTTTCTTAAACAAGATAACTCACCACAATATTATCTGGAATTCACTATTTCTATTAATTCAGTGAGAAAAAGTTTCTAATTTTTGTTTCCGATATTGCACAAAAAGTTTCCAATCTCAGAAAGGGTTCAATCAAACACAATGAAACCGCAACTAGTCCCTGGAGATGAAATTTGATAATTTCAACTTCAATATCAAAGACCTGTTTTTAAGCATAAACATTTTTCAATGGCCACAAAATAGAAGTAATAATAATAAGATGACCACTCAGTCTGGGAACAAAATGTTTTGTTTTTTTCCATCTAGCATGCTATTTCAGCTATTTCAAAATGAAGCTAGTTCAGCTTAAAAGTCTAGTTCAAAAAAATAATACGATTAGCTCATTAGCTGAATTGAATTAAACTGCATGCCAACTCACGGGTAGACCAAACTCTCTGAAACTTGTTATCGTTCACTGAAAAATAATCTATGAAGACAATTTTTCGTAGAGTTTTGAAGGAGAAATAAAGACCTGGCAGCGAGAATACCATGTAATGCTAGATAGCTAATTCAACTACGATTGACGGTCAATCTAACAATGTCTAGCGGTTCCGATCATTTATTGTCCTACATGTACAGTAGCACATTGAATGGTAACGACATTGGCAATGACAATAAGAAACAACCTTTCTGTCTTGAATGCAATTCTATAAATATTCTTAAAGAATAATATGTACCTGGTAAAGTTCTTTGACACCAATTAGAATAAATAATAAATAACTTTCTGTTGTGTGAGTGATTACCTGAGTTTATAACAACGTTTCCTATTGGTCAAAATTATTATCAGCTAACAATCTAATAAATTTGTAGCCAATCAGTGACTGGAATATTTATTCAGAATATTTAGAACCACTTTGAGTTCCATACTGTAAACCGCTTTGACTTTGAGAGAGAAATTTTTTTGTACATTTCGTGAGTCAGTGGAAATCGTGTAATTTTGTCTTCGTGAATGACGTAAAATCATCAAACTGTGAAATTAGCAAGCAAAATTTAACTGTCCACATTTCAAAGATAAAATTATAGTCTATATATTTTTTTAATTCCGAAAAAAAAAACTGTCTAAAGCAGCGAAAACAAACCAATAAGACTGCCAAAAACAATTTACATGTTCCCATACCACTTGTGTAAAATTATGCTTTGACGATTGCTGCAGTTACTTAGCAGTACCCAGCTAAAATTCACAGCACTGTACTCAATTTCAATTAACTGTATATCAACAATTATTAAGAGGGGAGGGGTGAACAACTGTGCAAAGTAGGTGGCGAAGAGACACCACAGAGTATAAACACTATTTGGTCACTTTTTTTGTAACCCTACACGTACACCACACGTACAGTAATGGTGAGGGCGATAAACAGTGGTTCATTAGAGCAGCAATTAGCAGTTAAGCTCCACAGTGCATGCGATTACGACGAGTTACATCATAAAGTCATCAGTTTTCTAGAAAAAAAATTAATTTAAATTGAAAAAAAAAGTTATCATATAAGTTGTTGAAACCAGTATTTAAAACGTGCTTAAGTGATTATTATTTTAATTTTATAAACTTTTATAAAGAATTACGCCAACAATAATGATTGGCTTTTGTGCTTCACATTTACACAACATAAATTGTGTGCGTCAGACAGATTAAAATATGACAGTGCTGTAGTGTCATTGTCACAGATGTCAGTGTTTACTACAGCAGCAGTACCAATAGTGATCTTCATGAACAAGTCACAGATGTGTTCCCATGGCTTTATATGGAAATCAGTTTACTTTTCTCAACGCACTCAGAGTTGTGCCCACATACATGAAGTTTACTTGCCACTAGCAGAGCTAAGTAGGTTTTCAGGATTTGTCATTTCATATTTATCAACAATCGTGACATTTTTTTTAGAGATTATTTTTCAATTATACCTATATAATTTCAACAATTTTGTTCCGAATAGATTGATTGAAGGAAGTCGGAGGCTTGTGCCAAACCGTACATGCGACTGAATACACCTCCTCACCTCAAAACTGATTATTAATTTATACAACAAGATATTTTAATTCTTCGCACTCGCGACAAAATCATGTCAGCCTTTATTAACCCAGCAGAAAAGGCAAAAGAGTAAATTTGGTTTTGGCGATATTATGCGGTTTTGTTCCAAATGCTTACGCTTAGAAAGTGGCTATAATTTTAAGCATAACAGGCACATTCACACATTCAGAATCTCAAATTGAATTGAACGTTCAGAGACCACGTTTTACTTGCTGCACAAGTGATGTATTGTGCCAAAAAGAAAGCTAGAAATTCGCATGCACATTGTATATTGTCAGCCAAAGCAGACCATGCTGGGAGTTGAATTCTGGGAAGACTGATGAATTATTACTTACATTAGGGATTAGTAGACAACGTGAAAAAAATATAAATCCTAAAATGCAAATAAAATTGAAAATTTGGCCTAAAGTGAACTTGACTTCATAAATGTCTCACAGTGACAAGGCATTGATTTCTGAGAATAGACAGAAATAGCCAACAAACATTGTCTTTATCAGATTAAATTTAAATTAAAAAAAATTCACATAGATTCCAACCACCAACCCTAAATGATACAGAAATATTAAAATCACAGGAAGTATCACATCACTTCTCAACTGGCCACCTTGGTAGCTACGAAGATCTTCACAGAAGTCTTTGAATAAAGAGTACCGGTAGTATAATGAACGCTGGAAATAAAAAAAACACCGATCACGGCTGTATATTATGAATATGGTCTTTAAAGAGAAAATAGAAGACCGGTGTAATGATACCTATTGCAAACATAATGATGACCATAGTCCACCAAGAGAAACCACAGTTAGCACCGTCAAATTTAGGCTTGGGTGGGGTAAGCGGTTGTATGTACCTTGCATTCAACATGGAAGTCACCTCTGTCAATGAGCTTTTCTCAGTCCGAGTAGATTTCCGTATTTTTTCCAAATCCTTGTCCATATTTTTTAGAAATTCACTGGCTTCAGAGTTTCCTTGTAAAGAGTCTCGTATACTGACAGTTCTAACCTCAAACACAGTGTCTTCGTCGTCCTCGTCGTTAACTTCAATAGTCTGTTTAGCCTCTGTAGGCTGAGCGGCGTTTGGGCGCCGCCTTTTTTCCTCATGAAGTTCCGTGAGTAGTCCATATTTTTTAACTGGCACCTTGATTGTTTTTAACCTAAAAAAGTCTTGTTCAATTATGAGATTGTTTATTCTTTTCAACTCTGACACCTGTAAACAAAAATACGCAAAATTATTTCATGTACATATACAATGACCAGTAGTGCGTGCAACAAGATACATGAACATAAGGTGACATAAACGCTGAACCAAACATAAATACACAAATGTCTGTGATGCAGATGCTGCCAAATCTGTTTTCAAATATAGACAATGAGAGTATATACAAGAGTAGCAGTAGGAACTGGAAGGTTAATAATGCCATATGGTAACATACTACTGAAATTCATAATAGATTAATAATTTAGTCAAATATTGTTATGAAAGTAAAAATTACTTTTCTAATGAAAACCCCAAATTATACAACGTACATGTAATTGAACTAGCTCGACATTGCTTCTATGAGAATTTGTTAGCAGTACAACCC